CTCTGTCCATGGGATTTCCCAGGCAAGAATACTGGAGTGGGTTGCCATTTCCTTCTCCAGGGGATCTTCCTGACCCAGGGATTAAACCCACATCTCCCGCATTGAGGTGAATTCCTTACCCCTGAGCCAGTGGGGATGCCAGAGTAATGACAAATTCTTCCCTGCTTAAATTTATGCCATCAAATTTAGAAAACTCAGCAGTGGCCACAGGACTGGAAAAGGTCAGTTTTCATTCCAGTCCCAAAGAAAGGCAATGCCAAAGAATGTTCAAACTACTGCACAGTTGCACTCATCTCACACGATAGCAAAGTAATGCTCAAAATTCTCCAAGCCAGGCTTCAGCAGTACATGAACCATGAACTTCCAGATGTTCACGCTGGATTTAGAAATGGCAGAGGAACCAGAGATCAAATTGCCAACATCTGTTGGATCATCGAAAAAGCAAGAGAGTTCCAGAAAAACATCTATTTCTGCTTTATTGGCTATGCCAAAGCCTTTGACTGTGTGGATCACAACAAACTGGAAGATTCTTCGAGAGATGGGACTACCAGACTACCTGACCTGGCTCTTGAGAAATCTATATGCAGGTCAGGATGCAACAGTTAGAATTGGACATGGAACAACAGACTGGTTCCAAACTGGGAAAGGAGTATGTCAAGGCTGTATATTGTCACCCTGCTTATTTAACTTCTGTGCAGAGTACATCATGAGAAACGCTGGGCTGGATGAAGCACAAGCTGGAATCAAGATTGCCTGGAGAAATATCAGTAACCTCAGATATGCAGATGACACTACCCTATGGCAGAAAGTGAAGAACTAAAGAGCCTCTTGATGAAAGAGGAGAGTGAAAAAGTTGCTTAAAAGTCAACATTCAGAAAACTAAGATCATGGCATCCAGTCCCATCACTTCATGGCAAATAGATGGGGAAACAGTGACTTTTATTTTCTTGGGCTCCAAAATCACTGCAGATGGTGACTGCAGCCATGAAATTAAAAGATGCTTGCTCCTTGGAAGAAAAGTTATGACCAACCTAGACAGCATATTAAAAAGCAGAGACATTATTTTGCCAGCAAAGGTCTGTCTAGTCAAAGCTATGGTTTTTCCAGTAGTCATGTATGGGTGTGAGAGTTGGACTATAAAGAAAGCTGAGTGCCGAAGGATTGATGCTTTTGAACTGTGGTTTTGGAGAAGACTCTTGAGAGTGCCTTGTACTGCAAGGAGATCCAAGCAGTCCATCCTAAAGGAGATCAGTCCTGAATATTCATTGGAAGGACTGATGCTGAAGCTGAAACTCCAATATTTTGGCCACCTGATGTGAAGAACTGACTCATTGGAAAAGACCCTGATGCTGGGAAAGATTGAAAGCAGGAACAGAAGGGGATGACAGAGGATGAGATGGGTGGCATCACTGACTTGATGGACATGAGTTTGAGTAAACTCTGGGAGTTGGTGATGGACAGAGAGGCCTGGCATGCTGCAGTCCATGGGGTCACAAAGAGTCAGACAGGACTGAGTGACTGATCTGAACTGAACTAAATTTATACATTTCAGCTTTTAGCTTTATCATTAGGTGGTGCTAAGAAACCATTTTCTTCTCTACACAGGATTTAGCTGGGAGACTTGTTTTTGATAGCTGATTGTGAAATAGTAACAGTATTCCTTTCAGCCTAGTGATTGAGCTTTTTAAATAGATGAATTAAAATATAGGGAAGGCTGCTCATTTAAATGAGTATTCAAAGTAGTAATGACTATATTTCATAATACTCGCGGAGTAATTTAGTTGAACTTAGTGAATATTTGTTTGAATGAAAGTCACACATGACCTCATTAATCTTTACCTGATATGTATGTTTATGCTGATGTATGTCAGCAGTGTCTCAAAATGTTCCCCAATATGTATTTAACATGTTTCAGACTTGTCCGTAATGAAGCTCTCTACTCAGTAAGATAAATAGATCTATTTTTGCCATAGACTTTGACATAGCAGAACACACAGGATGCAAAACCAGTTAAGCTGAGGACATAGCTTTTTAGTATTTTTAACTACTTAATGTTTGCTACTTTAAAAAATAATTTCCAGGAGAAGGAAATGGCAACCCACTCCAGTATTCTTGCCTGGAGAATCCCATGGACGGAGGAGCCTGGTGGGGTACAGTCCACGGGATCGCAGAGTCGGATAAGACTTCACTTTCACTTTCACTTTCACCCCTCAGTTGAGACTTTCAGCTCTTGTGTTTGCTATTGATTGTTTTCTTGAGTTCTCAAAGACCTGTGACCATATTTTTTTTAAGTTGCCTGTTTTCTAATTGCATCACTTTACACACTGTTGTCTAATAATATGTGGTATTTAGAATGCCTTCTTAATTATTTTGAGCAGCCATTGCCTGTATTTTCTTAGCACCTCCTTGGTTTTCTTATGTGAACTCATCTGACAGGGAAATGCAGCTTTCTGTTTGCCCTCTCTGCATACTGGACTGTCTGAGTCAGTGTTCTAACTAATCCCTGATGGTCTCTGAGCTACTGTTCTACCAGACTCAGTAGTTATGTGCTTCAGGAATTTTTCGGTAGAGTTGGTCCTATTAGGAGACTCTTGGTATCACCTTTGTTATCTTAAAAGCTGGTCCCTTCGCTGAGGCTCTTAATTTTTTGAAAACCTGATGCTATTTCAGCTGAAAAAATTTGGCAAGGCTATTTAAAAAATTGAGGGAAGCCATTTAAGAAATTGAAAAGTAATCGCAAACAACATAGGGTAGTTGTGACTTTCAGTTCTGTATCAGTTGAATTTTTGTGCTCTTTTCCCTGTGTACGTGGTGGTTCTATTTTTCTCCAATAAGACTTTTTATTTAAAATAAATAAATAAAAATAAAAAATAATTTCCAGGGACTTCCCTGGTAGTTCAGTGATAAGAATGAGGCTTGCAATGCAGGGGACCAGGGTTCCTTCCCTGGTCAGGAACTTAGATCCCACATGCCCTGGGGTAACTAAGCCACAACTGGAGAGCCCCCATGCCATCCTATACAGCCAAATAAATAAGTAAAAGTAAAAAAATAATTTTCAAAATAAGGTTAATGTATTCTCTGCATTCATTTTATCTGGGGTGCTTAATTTCTGGACCTGATTCCAGAGACCTCTGTTGAGAATCAAAATTTCTGCCCTTCTCCTTACAAAAGAATGTGTACTGTATGATTTCATTTATATAAAATTCTAGGAAACGAAAACTAGAATATAGTGATGAAAATTTGACGAGTGGTTGCCTGGGATAGAGAGCAGTTTGGAAGGAGCTGGAGGGGGACATTATAGGGGAACATAAGGAAACTTAGGGTGATGGTTATGTTCATCATCTTGACTGTGGTGGTGGTTTCAAGGGTATACACATGTCAAAACTTATCAAATTGTATATTTTAAATATGTGCAGTTCACTTCATGACAGTTATGCCTCAATATAGCTGTTTTTTACTTCTGACAAGTCCTCAAGGTGATTATTCATCCTCCAGGAGTTTGAGAATCAGTAAAGTTGACTTTTGAACAACACAGATTTGAACTGCAAGGATCCGCTTATATAGGGCTTTTTTTTTTTTTTTTACCATATATATACTATAGTACTACATGATTTGTAGTTGGTTGAATCCATAGATGTGGAAACTGTAAAGTTATGTTTGAATTTTTGATGGTGTGGAGGGTCAGTGCCTCTACCTCCCACGTTGTTTAAGGGTGTACTGTATTTTAAAACATAGGAAAGCAACTGATAAGATAGCTTTAGCCAAATCAAAGAAATATTAAAATCAAATGTTAAATGCTTTCAGTGTGGCTCTTTCATTATATTATCACCCTTCTTTCCTTATAGTTTATCCTGCAGCCATTTAGAACTTTTTCCTAAAGACTCTTGATCTTGCTGATGCTGTTTTCTCTGCCTCAGGTGCTTCTCCATAATATTTTTCCCTACCTTTTTTTTAATGCAGTGGATTTACACTTATATCAATATTTCAAGATCCACCTCAAATGTTACTTTCTCTTTAAAGTCTCAGATTCCCAAGGCATAGTTATTGTTCGAGTTGTTCTTTGTCCTGATAACATTTTGTTCATACTTCTGTTGCATTTGTGAAGTTGTTTTGCAGTTATCCGTCAGTTTCTTCCAGTGAACCATAAGCTCTTAGAGAACAGGGGTTGTGTTATGTTCATCTTTGTATTTCTCTTTTTTTAAGTTGTTTTTCTGTCTTGTCATTAAATTTTACTCTTACAGGGTTAGTTTTATGTCATTTGTTATTTGATACAAATTTTTAAATTGTATTTTTAATTTCATATTTACTAAACTTGACATTATAAACTGATAAGGCTTCAAGGTACAACTATATTTTTCATTTTTAATCAGTAGTTCTTCAGAATATATTGTTACTATATTGTTTGGAACTGACACATGTAATATTGTTATATGTTCTCTTATTTAATATGACTTCATGAAAATTTATTTAACATAATCATAACCTTATTAATTTGTCTTAGTTTTTTAATAGAAAATTCTAGATTTTTCCTTTTTGTATTTGCACAGATACTGCATGCTTTAAATTATTCTGTAGATTTTAGCCCACGTATATTTTTGTGTGTCTTCTTTAGGCATTAGATTGGCATTAAAACAAAATCCAACAATCAGTATGCTGTGCTTTATATTAGAGTTTAGTTCATTTGCTTTGTACACTTTAATTGATAACTTTCTTCTAATTCCTTTGTCCTGTAAGTTTTTCCTCATTGTGTCTTTTTTTTTTCTTTTTTAAATCATCTTTGTATTTCTCTGATTTGGGCTTGGATTCCCACAGAGGCCCAGTAAGTGATTGACTGTTAAATGAATAGATGAGTCAGTAACCAGAGTGAGGCATCCATTAACTTGCCATATTTGTTTTCCTTAAATTTTTGTTTTTTAAATTGTTTATTTATGTTACATTTTCATATATAATATAAACTGTGTTTTAAGGAATTTTTGGTATTATTTTTTCACTTGAAATAGATTCTGATATCAAAGTCCTTGAAGACCAGTTTGATGAAATCATAGTTGATTTAGCCACAAAACGTAAGCAGTATCCCAGAAAGATCCTTGAATGTGTCATCAAAATCATAAAGGCACAACAAGAGATTCTGGTAAGATGATTTACCTTTAAAATAGTAAATTTTATGTAATGTCTGTTTTACTACAGTAAAAAAGTTAAAGTGTAAGATCAAGTGGAGATAAATGACATTTTGTTTTCTTTGTTTTTCCTGCCTGAATTACTACTGTTTGTCTGTTATAAAATTTCCCCCTTCTAACTCCCACTAGGTTTTGAATACAGCTGATAATAAAATAAAGTAGAATTTGAAGATGGAAGACTGACAATAACTTATTTCTGAGTCCAGGAAGGAGAAAGAAGTTTATTTTTTAAGCCTCTTCCTTCTATTTGTGATTTGTATTTGGCACATTATTTGTATATAGGTATGTGTTTTGTGAGACCCTTGTCTTCGTTATGTATTTTGGTGATGAAGATTGAGATTACCTGTTTATAACACCAAAATTTGCTTTATGAATTGTGTGTAATTTCTTTCGCTCCAAAAATCATGACGAGGCAGGAGGAGGTTTGCTGGAATGGCATTGCCTCTGGAGTGAGACATATATGTGGCTTTCAGCTTTGCTTAACTGTTTGTCCCTACTTTTTAAAATTAGCATACTTTCACATATAAATTTTCCAGTTGCTTCCTTTTCAGGGATTGTTTCAGAGAGTGAAAACAGGTACTTTATCTAAAATATTTTACTTATCGTTCTATGAGAAAAAAATAGTTATAAGCAAAACTTTTCTTTTTTATTTTTTCTGTAGAAATGTCAGTTCTCCAAGAAATACCGCACTCCCATCTCCCTCATCTACTTTTAAAGTTTCCTCAGGAAAAACATTCAAAATGTATTTATTTTCCAGTATCTTTCTATTACTACCCTTCCTCCCTGCTCCCACCCCGCCACCAAAAAACCTATAGTCAGTATTACATAAAAGAAGGTTTGCTGACCTAGGTGGGGTGTTGCTGTGGAAGTTTAAAAATTGATGCAAAAATGAATGGGGTGAGGATACTAAAGATAGCTTTAAAACAAACCAAAAACCTTTTTGGCTCCTGCTGCTTTGGGCATGAGAAAGGACATTTTCCACTTCCTTTTTGCCTGAATTATGGACCCTGTTCTTAGAGTTCTCCTGCAGTCCCAGTGTATCACAGGTAGGCATTTGTGTGCTGGATACTTTTAAAAACAGATTTCTGTGTGAATATGAATTCTGAGTTCTAACCACTTATCTTAAAATGAACTTCTCAAAAACAGTCCGTTAATAGTTTGAAAACTACCTTATACTTTATATAAACACAAGATTCTGTCACTATGCCTTTAATGTGCTTTTATGCTTCTTTATGTTGCTGCATCTTAGTGTATGCAGTAGGTGGCAGTACTCTAAAAGGTATAATTCAGACTTAATTTATCTGTTCTTTTCGCCTTCCTCCCCTACAGGATCTAATTTGGATGTTTTGTTTTGTTTTTTTGGCAAAAGAATGATACTGCTGACTAATATTTGTTTATATTAGCCAAATAAAATGTTTCTGTAAGTCACCTAGTTGTTAATTTAAATCTGTTTTAATTTATTTTATGTTTAGAAGCAGTACCACCCTGTTGTACGTCCGTTGGACCTAAAGTATGACCCTGATCCAGGTGAGCCAGTATTCATTTGTGGTAAAAATGAAACATGAGCTTGTAATTTTTAGGAGTTCCTGATACTCCTTTAAAGGTTTTAGCATCAGGGGTATCTTCCCTTTGATGCTCTAACTCACTCCCAGTCATAAGTGTTTAGGTCTTTTTCTCACTTAGGTTTATGAGAGCCAGCTCTAAACCTACCATCTCAGAATTTCTAGGGTCAGGACCCAGGAATCTGGACTTCTGTTAAGCAGTCTCCTGACCTAGAGTATTACACCTTCTCCATCTCTACCTTCCCCTATAACACCCTCCCGTCTTTAATACTGTTATATTATCCATTCTTTGCATTACAGCCAAAGTTTTACTATTAAAGCACTCGGTGTCTTTTCTTCGTGTGATAACCATCATTGGTTTTTCATCATTTACAGAATAAAATCCAATAAAAATACAATATTGAACTTAAGAAGAGATACGTACACTTGTTACGCCTTTGAATTCAATTCTATTTTCCACTTAGGTGCATCTTGTAAAACATAAAGAAATAAAAAGAATATAAACTTTGTAAATCCAGCAACAGAACTAACATTGCTAAAAATGTGGAGCATGCCTATTTTTAAATAGCTGTATTCTTACCTTTAAAAATTTGTAACAATTTTTCTAGGAGACATTTTGGAATTTGCCTTTGGCACTCTAAAGTACCAATTTTGAAGTATTTGTGAAACAGTTAAGATCTTGATTTATTTGTATGGGATTTCTATACTTATGGCTTTGAATACCTCACCCTTGTTGAATTCTGGTTTACCTTCTAACATGTCCCCTGCCCTTCCAAATTGTCCCAAGCCAATGGGATAAACAGAAAGGGAAGCAAATGTAGGCTGAAGTTGGTTAAAATCATAGCAGTCACTGTATTTGATAATAAACATTAACCTAGTAACACTTAATTTGTCATCAGTTTGGTTTGGTTCAGTTCAGTCGCTCAGTTGTGTCTGAATCTTTGCAACCCCGTGGACTGCAGCACACCAGGCTTCCCTGTCCATCACCAGCTCCCAGAGCTTGCTTAAACTCATGTCCATCGAGTGGGTGATGTCATCCAACCATCTCATCCTCTGTCGTCCTCTTCTCCTCCTGCCTTCAATCTTTCTCAGCATCAGGGTCTTTACCAGTGAGTCAGTTTTTCTCATCAGTTGGCCAAAGTTTTGGAGCTTCAGCTTCAGCATCAGTCTGTCCAGTGAATATTCAGGACTGATTTCCTTTAGGATGAACTGGTTTGATCTCCTTGCAGTCCAAGGGACTCTCAAGAGTCTTCTCCAACACCACAGTTCAAAAGCTTCAATTCTTTAGTGCTCAGCTTTCTTTATGGTCCAAATCTCACATGCAGTCATAACTACTGGAAAAACCATAGCTTTGACTAGACGGACCTTTGTTGGTAAAGTAATGTCTTTGCTTTTTAATATATGTTCTAGGTTTGTCATAGCTTTTCTTCCAAGAAGCAAGTGTCTTAATTTCTTCCAAGAAGCAAGTGCAGTCACCATCCGCAGTGATTTTAGAGCCCAAGAAAATAAAGTCTCTCACTGTTTCCATTGTTTCCCCATCTTTTTGCCATGAAATGATGGGACCGGATGCCATGATCTTAGTTTTTTGAATGTTGAGTTTTATATTTTTTTTTTATATTTTGTCCTACCTCCCTTCGAAGACAATGGGCTGCTTTTCTGGGCGCCTGATGTCCTCTGCTAGCGATCAGAAGTTGTTTTGTGAAATTTGCTCAGCATTCAAATGTTCTTTCGATGAATTTGTAGGAGAGAAAGTGGTCTCCCTGTCCTATTCCTCCGCCATCTTGGCTCCTTCCCCCCGAATGTTGAGTTTTAAGCCAGCTTTTTCACTCTCTTCTTTCTGACGTATGCAGAGTATGATAAATCAGAGAGAATGCATACCCATGTGTACGACAATGATTTGGCATAGTTATGTTAGGAACTTTGGGGGATATGGAGATAAATAGGACAGATTCTCCTCATAAAGAGCTTACGTCTGAGTAGAAATAAGAGATGAACATAAAGCAATATTCCTTTATGTCCTCAAGCTGATTCCTTTCCTGGTTTTCCCCATCTGAGTAAATAACACCTTCACCTCTGTATTGCTTTAGTCAGAAGTCAGCCTTGAATCTTTCCTCTCCTGAACTCTTCATATGTAGTCCATCAAGAAGTCCTACAAATTATTCCTTTGAAATACAATCTCACATTCATCCACTTTGCTATTACCTCTAATCTAGGTCACCATCACTCTAGCTAAGATTTCTAGACATGCTTCCCTTAAGGTCTTCTGTTTCACTCTTGTTCTCTTCCAGTCCATTGCATTTCCATCAGGCAGAGTTGATTTTATAAAAAAAAACCCTTTGAAATATTTCAAACATATAGAAAATAAGGAGAATAACATAATGAACATCTTTGTACCTACCACTAATTTTTAGTCAGTTCAGTTGCTCAGTCTTGTCCAACTCTTTGCAGTCCCATGGACTGTAGCACACCAGGCCTCCCTGTCCATCACCAACTCCCGGAGTTTACCCAAACTCATGTCCATTGAGTTGGTGATGCCATCCAACCATCTCATCCTCTGTCGTCCCCTTCTCCTGCCTTCAATCTTTCCCAGTATCATGGTCTTTTCCAATGAGTCAGTTCTTTCACATCAAGTGGCCAAAGTACTGGAGCTTCAGTTACAGCATCAGTCCTTCCAATGAACACTCAGGACCGATCTCCTTTAGGATGGACTGGTTGGATCTCCTTGCAGTCCAAGGGACTCTCAAGAGTCTTCTCCAACATCACAGTTCAAAAGCATCAATTCTTTGGAGCTCAGCTTTCTTTTTAGTCCAGCTCTCACATCCATACGTGACTACTGGAAAAGCCATAGCTTTGACTAGACGGACCTTGGTTGACAAACCGTACTGGGGTATTATTAACAGTTTGCCAAAAATTAATTGCCATCAGGTTTTCTGTACTTTATTTTTTTCGCCAATGTGATGGGCATGTAGAAGTTTTTAAAGTGAGGTTGTTCGTCCTTGAGTTACCTATTTATATTCTTTGCCTGTTCTTTGGTTGGGTTATTTGAACTTTCCTTATTCATTTCTAAGAGTCATATACACAGGCACTTGAAGATACACGCATGCATACACACATTATAGACATTAGTGTTATAAGCACTGTAAATATTTGCTCTCAGTTTTTGGCTTGTCTTATAACTACTTATAATGACCTTATATATACATACTTTTTAAAAAAATAGAATTTTCTTGATTTATAATTTACATATAATAAAAGTACGTCCATTTTACGCATACAGTTTGAGTTTTGGCAAATGTATACAACTCTGTAACCATGACCACAATTGAGATACAGAAGTTTTCATCATTCATGAAGTTCCCTTATGCCCCTAAATTTTATGCTTTTTGTCTCTTAACTCTGCTAATATGGTGAATTAACATTGACAGATTTTTCTGATGGTTATCTTTGCATTCACAGAGAAAACCCCACTTACTCTTTAGTATATTTTTTCTTTTATATACTTGAATTAAATTTACCTGTATTTTATTTATATTTGTATACTATGTTAAACTATAGTATATCTGCATCTGTAGTCACACAAAAAATAAACGTGTTTTAAAACATACTGTCCCTTTCCAATTTTGTCACCAAGGTTATGCTGCCCTCATAAAACAGTTTCTAAATGTTAGAGGGTTTTGGTCTTTGAAGAGTTGGTAAGATTCATGTATAAAACTGTCTGAGCCTAGTTATAAACTGACTTAGTATATCTAATGGTTATCGGTTTCTTCAGGTTTTTTATTTTTTCTTAAATCAATTTTGGTAATATTTGTTTGAAAAACAGTCTGTTTCATCCATGTATTCAGTATATTGGCATGAAACTTTATGGTAGTTACTTACATAATTTTAAAAATTTCTGTTCCACATATGCTTAATTCTTAATGTTGTTTTTGCTTTCTCTTTTTTCTTGATATCTTGCTCTAGATTTCTTTGTTTTTAATTGGTCTTTTCAGAGAGTCATCTTTTAGTTTTGCTGAGTTTCTATATTGTTTTTCACTTTTCTGGTTCCTTGAGTTCTGATCTTATCTTTAGTGTGGTCTTCCTGCTTTCTTGAGTTTTATGGGTTATTTTTAACTTCTTGAATGAAACACTTCATTAGTTTACTTCAGTCTTTAGTAAATAAGTCTACAGATGTATCTCCAGGTCCTGTGTTAGCTGTATCCTCAAGACTCAACATGTAGAACTTTCATAGTTTAATTCCAAATATTTTTTCATTTCCAAATGTAGGAGTCTTACTTATTTTCCTCTTTTTTGCCATCTGCCATGTTGATAGATTTTTCTTTGTCTCTTATTTTCCTTTTTTTTCTGGTTTGAAAGCTATCTGCTATGCTTCTTTTCCTTTAGTGTTACCTGTTAAAATTTTAGCATACGGTAGTTCTAAAATTATCTAACATAGTCAGGAGTTATACAGTATTTCAGGTTCCCTCCTAGGTAAGAAAAGGACTTTATTATACTTTACCCACTGAATAAGCACATCCCTCTCTCAATTTTCCTTCTTATTTGTGTCTAGAACTTTATAGCGCTCATCTGCTTTTTGTCTCTACAGATTTGACTATTCTAGACATTTCATATAAATTAAATCATGTAATATGTCATCCTTTAAGAATGGCTTCTTTGAATTAGCATAATGTTTCAAGGTCCATGTTATAGCATGTATCAGTATTTTGTTGCTGATGTAAATGGAGTTAAAAAAATAGTTTCAGTTTGTTTATTGCTACTGTATAGAAATAGGATTGATGTTTATATCTTGATCTTGTATCTTTCAACCTTGCTGATCTCATTTATTAGTTCTAATAGTTTTTTAGTGGGTTCTTTAGAGTTCTCTTCATAAGAGATTATATCATGTGATCAACAGATCAGATAGTTTTACTTCTTCCTTTCCAGTCTGGAGGCCTGGTACTCATAGTTATTGATAAGTCTGCTCAGAGA